TCTGACAATAATTATTATTATATAATTTTTTTTAAATTTTGTTTCTATGTGTCAAGTTGTAATGCCAGATATGTAAAAAATACTGTCATCAGATTTTTCCTTTGAAAACCAAATGTTTATACTCGTCTTTTAACCTTGATTACACCAGCTCTGTAAAGTTTTCAAGGATTTGGTACAATTAGGGTTTAACAATGTACAAACGACAGAAATTTAAGGCAGTTTATTTGGCTTTCTTTTTAATTGAGCAATTAGACAATGAAGATGGTATTATATATCCAACATGTTATATATTTTCTGAAAGCTTATTATACAAACTTTGTAAAACTTGTCTTTATTTTAAATACCCAGAATACGTTTCTGATTTTGGGTCAAAAATATGCTTTTTTGGCTTAATAGCTTAAAAACTTCAAGTCCGCTTGTGGGTAAAATTACATCACCGGATACCTTGGTATACTACTAATTCAAATGCGTCCACTCATCTCTCTAACGGCTTACAAAGTCGCACAGCATGACCTCAACGTTCACTCTTTTCTATTTTTGCATAATTTATATATCTATATTAATTGCGAACTTGTTATTTTTGTTCCACTTGCCGTAATAAACTGTCCAGACGCATTTTGAAGGGGGAACACCTTGTCAATAATGTGTGAAAATTTTGAGACAAATGGCCTAAGCGTCTATCAGCTATTTTAATTTAAAACCCAAGAATTCACCAAAAATAGAAGACGAGAAAAATGCTAATTTGCATATTTGCACGTTAAACCGGGAATTACTGCTTTGTCAGACTTTCTAGACCATTGAAATTGAAAGTTAACGTATAGAGATAGACATTTGATGTAAAATCGTTGAAGCAGAACAACTGCTCATGAATATATAAATCAGAAACACGTCATTCGTACCAGTGTTTTGATGGGGTCGGTAAAAACATGTGGCAATGTCCAGTAAATATGACGTCATCTCATGAATTATTAAACAGGGGGGGGGGGGGGAGTCCTGAGAAGGTGACTTTTTATCTCGACCAAAACATTATGGCTTCTCTTCCATGTATTTTAAATAAAAAATCTACGAGTATTTCAGAGCCTATGGTTTACCGTGAAGAGTACAAAGTGTGATATTGAATTATTTATTCTCGAAGATTTTTATGTATTGAGAACCAACTCCAGGAAGCGAACGCACAATAATGAATAATCGCGTAACCCTAGAATCGAAACGTTTTTTATTTTTAACCAGAAAATAGCGATCAATTTTAACAGTGTTCCAATAAAAATTCATCGGTCAAATTTTCACAGAATGTTCTTTAGATAAAAATCTATATAAAAAACGAAAACAAATATTTTTGATGAAATTCACAAATAAAGTGCATTAACAGAAAACCTGAAAAATGGCTATGAATGTGGTTGGGACGACTCTTGCTGTGCGGCCAATCGTCAAATTTTCTTAAAGTTTACTACTGGGGCACCATTCAAAAATATGACATTCAACTTCTACGCCAGCAAAACTACTTACCTGACTGATTTTTTGACAATAAAGAATGTATCATCCACCATACTGGAGGTATAGGCACCTGATTCCATAGCATCAAGTTTGATAGCCTAAAATAGAATATAAATATAACACTATGAACACATACCATACCCATACCCATACCATCGCAATCTTCTAAAAAGTCTCTATTATCGTTATCTTGGGAAGTAAAATATACTGCAACCTGTTACGATTTCACTACAATTAATTTTGATAACTCACAAAGACAAGACATTGTGAATATTAAGATTTTTTTCAAATATGTCAAACTCAAAGAAATTAGATTCTTGTAAAATGAATTTAGTTCCAGTTACTAAAATTAAAATGACTTAAAAGGTCGATATGAATAATCAACCACACTACGACATAAAATTACCAAAATGCGCCACACGCAGGCAGGTTTGTTTACACTAACTTAAGGTAGAGATGCAGTTTGCCTGACAGGTATTTTAATTAGTTAATTAGGAAACCAAGATGACCTCCCTTGTCCACAAAACTATATATTTTTGGAAAGCTTATTGTATGAATTTTGAAGTTTTGTTAGTATTTTATTTTTATGGACACTAGTTTGAAATATGCACAAAAATGTTCTTTTTTGGTCAAAAGTGATTTAAAAAAAAATGAGCTTCTAAACCATGCTTCTGTTTCCTGTCAAAATTGGTTTATGGGTACATCTGTTTACTATGAAGAAAGCGCCGTCTTGAAAACTGTCTACCAGTTGTCAATTTTGTGGGGCAGCAGCTCAAATTTCACTACTTCAAGTTTATGCATAAATTAACACCCAGGCAAGTTGTCTGTATGATTGCTGTAACACTATTCAACTAAAAACAATACTCCGACGGCGTTTTGAAGATAAACGCATTGTCAATCATTTGTGAAAATTTCAAAACAAAAGGTCAAAGCGTCTAGGAGCTATTTTTTTTTAAAGTTCTGGAATGTGCACTAAAAAGAAGCTAAGATAATTGCTAATTTGTGGCTGATCTGCACTGGCCCCTAATTTGCATAACAATTCACTCAGTAAGAAATTTTTTTTTGTATTTATAAACTTTTATTGGAGTTTGCACTGAAATTAACATCTCACATACCTGGTTTGTACATTACAAATTGCAATTAATCTACATATTGTGAAGTGGATTGGGTAACATTTTTCATAAAATATCCCCATTTCTTGTTATGAGAAGTCAACTTATTCCGTCGGACAGCAATGAAGTACTCCAGGAAATATTTTACATATCTTTTGTATGCCATGAGTTCTGGCTTTTTTATTTTTATGTCTACACAAGTAAATATATTTTGTTGCTACCAGAAAGAGGAAGTTGACTAAACATGTAAAGTTATCATCCCCCAAAAGGATTTGTTGTGCATTCGGGAATGCCCTCAGGCCAAGCTCCCCCCCCCCAAAGCATGTACAGTGTTTCCCAAAAATCTTGGGTGCATTGACATTGGTAAAACAAATGAATAAGAGATTCAGAGCATGATGAACAGAAAGTACACAGATCAGACTCCACAATGGGAGGGTTCATCTTGAATAATGTTTTGTTTGTGGTCAGAATATTATGGATTATTTTGAGTTTAAATTCTCTGAGACGAGTATCAATTGTAGTACGAAAGGGTAACTGGTAGATTGGCAACCAAGACATCAAGTGTGAAATATTCAATAATATAGTAAAATAGGTCTCAGATCTAGGCGAGATAAATTTGTCTCAGTAAGAAGTTTGCTAATACTCATAATTAAAATGGCTGTTACAGTTTCAAATTTAAATGTGTTATCGTTTTGTAAAAAGTTAAATACAGTGCATACTATGAAGATCCCGTCATTTCTTTTTTTCACCATGTTTTTTTTTTTTATTATTTATGTACAGCCTTGCTAAATCTTGCTAAGCATTCAAAAGTGATAATTTTGTACCTTTTATCTATATTTTAAAATCGTTTTTTGAGTATGTTCCACTATTCACAATTCTACAAAATTTCAACAGTCTATAGCCAAGACATTTTGGATAATAGCAAAAGCAAAAAAAAAAAAATTCACTCCCAAGTGCCCTAGAACCTGCATCTCTACCTTAATCACATTCAATTGGATTAAAGTAGCAGCTTGGGGAATCAACAAGTTAAATATTTATACTGATTCAGACATTCCCACTAAAAGTTACTCACCATAACAACCTATACATCATCGGAATGCTTGTGGCGAATAGACCATTTTCCGTTCACTGCGAGAATCGCGCGTTATGCGTGAAATCGAACGTAAAAACAGGACAAACAAAGGTCATAGCGTTGTAGTCGCGTCAAACGCGAAAGTATTTCGGGGACATTTCCATGCTTAATAATGTGCTGTCCACATTTGATGATAGGCAATTTCAATTAAGTAAGGGTATTCGGAAGCAATATTCGTCTGTCGAAGATCGGCTGGTCAATGTAAGCTACGAAATAAAGAAATTCTAGTTCAAAATCAAATCGTTTGATTTTTGCGGCAGACGTTCGACGTGCGTCTTTCATGCATCTCGCGAGATCTCGCAATTGTACGGAAAATCACCTATTACAGTACTGTATATGCCACACTAATGTTTGTCTAAGGGATTAACTGACGGCCAATGTAAAATCATGTCCATTTGGTTAAAACTATAATATTATTGGACAAGAAACATTGTTGCAGTCAAAGTTCATTGTGTAGGACACATAGTTCCTTGACTATGGAGGACTCACATTTGACCTCCAGCTCACCTCTACTTACCTTTACTCCAACTCACATTTGATACCTATTCACCTTTGACCCCAACTCACCTTTGACCCTTACTCACCTTCATAACAGTCTCTCTCATGAAATACTCCTCCATCATAATATAATGACCAATCAGTTCCTGCATACCACGACTTAATTCACAATTCACTAATACTTTATCTAACTGACTCAATTTTTCCTGTTTTTCAGTAGCATTCAGGTCAATCACCTCAAGATCCGCCTAAAAATGATAAAATAGGAAACATTTTCAATTTTTCGTAACTGATTCTTGCATATTCAAAAACAAAACATTGAATGTAATGTGAACACAGCATATATACAAAGAATTCAATCCACTTACACTATAAATACTAATGA